TGCTGATTGTGCAATAAAATGCAAAAATATACATTATTGAAAACGTAAGCAATGAAATAACAAAAAATGCCCTTAATGGGGGGCGTGGCTAGTATACGCACGGGATTGCAGTATAGACTGGGAGCTCTGGCCATCTGTGGAGGACAACAGTGCCCAGTGACTCTCACAGGCTTCAGTACTGCTCACATTTGAAGTGGTTTGGCTCCTGCACACAGTGGTGACATGCCCCGCAAAAGAAAGGAAGATCCAGGACCGAACAAACTAATGTCATTCTTTCCCTAGGCCGTCAAGGGGAATCACCAAGATGGCACCGGTTTGTCTTCCCCGCCTCGTGGCAACTGACACTCAGCCTCTGCAGAATTCTCTCATGGAACCTCACCATCCCAGGCAGCCTCTGCTCCTATGATGGGTAGCCCTGCCAAGTCCAGGCTCAGACTGAATGAAGAACGTGACATGCTAAATGAGCTTAATCATTGCTATAACTCGCTAGATGACACTAGGGAGCTACCAGACTCCATCACTGCCTTCTCTACAGCTAATAAGCCTGTAATAGATACAACCTTGAAGGATATGTTGATTTCACTTAGAGGGACACTTCAGCTGATATCTAACATATCACTAAACAATTTAAAGAGGAAGTGCAGGTCATAGGCTCCAGGGTTGAGCATATTGAAAACAAGATGATTGAATTTTCTCACACGATCAATGATCTTGTAGATGCACATCATGATAATATGGATGAGCATGCATGCATAAAGGCTAAACTTGCTGACATAGAAGATCAGTCTAGGCAGAACAATCTCAAAATAAGAGGCATTCCTGAATCAGTGCAAATGCATGATATCCGTTGCTATGCGTGTGACCTATTTAAAATCATTCTACCTGACACATCTTAGTTTGAGCTGATTATAAACAGGATCCACCACTTACCAAGACTGTCCTTCATCCCTGAAGATGTTCCCAGAGATGTATTGATGCGTATACATTTTTTTCACAACAAAGACCAACTGATGGCTAAGTGCCGTGCTACAGGACCTGTGCCTTCTCCATATGCCAATCCACAATTGAATACAATCACCAAGGCTTTGCGGAACCATTGCATATATTAAAAAATATATATATATGTATATATATATATATATATATATATATATATATATATATATATATAAATTGGGCAATCCATCTAAGCTACTGGTGTTCAAAAATGGTGTTACTCATACAATGTTTTCTCTGAAGAAAAGATTGCAGCTTTTGAAAACGTAGGGGATCATGGCTGATTCTTCTTCTCCCACCAGGAAGAACCGCCCTGCCTTCAATTCACCATTCAATGCTTCTCAGCGGTCTCGATCTAATCACTTTCAAGGTGAAGATCCTGTCTGAGAGATTCTACTTCTGACACCGTATGTCCTGCAGTTTATCAGAGCACTTTCTAACAGACTTTCCTTTCTCCCAAGTTTGAGCAGTAACATACTGCACATGGATTGCTTGTATCCCATTTCTTAGTTCTTTTCACATGATATTTTCCGAATTGCTCCTCTGTGCTTGTGTTGTTTTTACTTTCTGATTTACACTTTTATAATTGGAACAACTTTGTTAAAGGCCTTACAACTTCTGTCTTTGGAAGATACATAAAGACTCAACAACTAATAGTGACTACCCACATAGCACTTTGTTTTGATTAACCGAGTACTAATCAGCGCTGTGTTGATCACATGGTAAAGACTATTGTAGGAAACATGTCTATTATGTTGCTATCAATCAATGCCAAGGGACTAAATCATCCTGCCAAGCATTCATCCCTTTGGAAAGAAGCTCTCCAATTTAAATGTGCTGTTTTGTGTGTACAGGAAACACATTTTCACATCAGAAGCCTCCAAAATGTTTTCATCGCAACTTTCCTATCTTCTCAGCATCTATGCAAGCAAAAAAGAGGTGAGTTCTACTCACAATACGTGACACAGTAGCCTTTAATCTTATTACAGAACCTAAAGACCCTGCGGGCTGGTATCTTGGTCTGGTCTGTGATCTAAATTCAACCAGATACACGATTATAACCATATATGCTCCAAATGCTCATCAGATATGCTTTATAAACAAGCTAATGGGCAAAGTGAATAAAATCAAACAAGGTTTGCTTATACCCTGTGGAGACCCCCCTGACCCTGTTATAAATATGATGGCTCAAAACGTCTACCGGCATGTCTGCAAACCACCCTACATCCCCCCAAGATCTTTTTGATGCTTGGATTTGTTTTCATGCTTCAGAGAAAGACTTCACCTTTTTCTCTATAGGTCATAATTTCTACTCCAGGATCGACTTGTTTCTAGTTGATGAATGGACACCCCAGAAGACACAGGAGTCAACTACCAATGATATTACATGGTCAGACCCACGCTACTATAACTCTCAATATTTCAAACTCTCTGTCTTCTGGCCGTGTACCTATTTGGAGACTTAACCCATCTCTATTGTATCCTTCAGGAATAAGGACAACCTTACTACTCAACTGACAGAATATTTTACATTTAATGTGGGCAGTATGCAAGACCCATTTGTCCTGTGGAATGCCCACAAATCTTATATTAGAGGCCTGCTTTTCAAACTTGGTTCCAAGGCAGCAGCATTTAGATCGCCTTATAGCGAACAGACATAGATTCATAGATTCTCTTCCCAACAATAAATAACCAGGTCCCGATGGTTTTAGTGGGGAATACTAAAAGACATTAAAACTGTACAAGACCTATGCTTAGAATTGATCTTCAACTCTGCTGCTGCCTCCTCTTATTTCCCCCAGGAGATGATTAATGTCCTTATTATTACTCTACCAAAACCAGAGAAGGATCCTAATACACCCCAAAACTTTTGGCACATATCCCTTTTAAACACGGATCTAAAACTATATACCAAACTCTTAGCCTTCCGGTTGGTAGATATCTTACCTACTTGAATTCACCCCGATCAATCTGGATTTACTAAAAACAGGCAAACATCTGACACCACTAGAAGAGTGATAAATGTTCTCCATTTTGTCAAACACACTAACTACTACATTATATGCCGAGAAGGTGTTTGACAGGATCCACTGGACCTATCTAACCAGAGTAGTCTTAAAATTTGGATTTGATGGCCATATACTACCTGCTATATTGGCTCTTCTGCCCAGGTCTATACATCAGGTATGCTATCAAAACCCTTTTTGATTACCAATGGCACACGACAGGGCTGCCCACTATCTCCTTTAATTTTTAATTTACTTATGGAACCACTAGCCACTTACATTAGATCCCACCTAGATGTCTACGGAGTACAAATTGGCAATTGAAACCACGGCTTCAACCTTTTTGCAGATGACGTTATTCTTATGCTAACCAACACTGAGACTTCCCAGGTAGCGGTGCAAAAGTCTTTACAACTATTTAACGCAATATCTTACAATAAGGTGAACACAAATAAGTCCTATATATTGGATTTGGGCCTATCACCTCATGTTAAACACAAACTTCAATCACAATTTTCTTCTGTGTGGAATGATACTGGTATAACCTATTCAGGAGTGACACTCACTAAATCAGTTGACTTAATTTTTAAAGAAAATTATGTTCCATTACTTCAGAAACTACGCTCTGCTCTAACTCAGTTGTCTCAACACAAACTTTCCTGGTCAGGTAGAGTAGCAGCATTTAAAATGCTCATTCTATCTTAATTGTATCTTTTTAGGTCAATACCAGTGCCTAACTATTACTTTAGCTCTCTACAATCTATTTTGAGTCAGTATCTCTGGCAGGGGAAATAGCTCACTGTGCTTTCAGTAAGCTTGTTAGGCATTGAAAAGCAGGAGGTCTAGGTCATGTAGCTATTAAAGAATATTATTTGGTCACATTGGTGTCCCACCTTAAAGGTTGGTTTGCTCAACCCAATACATTACTATGGACAGAAACTGACACCAGGAAAGAACTTATTACATTTTCTGTTCCTAAACTTCCTCAAACAATATAATGCACATCACGTATTGCATATTATCTAAGCCTCTTTACATGCATGGAAAACTCCCATAACTCTACCTACAAATGCCCAAGCATCTAATCTTTATATTCCGCTATCAGTATGTAGCCTACTGATCCCTAATATATCCCTAATTAACTGGACCAACAAAAGTATCCTGTGGCTCCATGACCTATTTTAAAATGATTCCCTGAAATCCTTCCCAGACCTTCAACAAGAGTATTAGATATCCCATACGGAATATTATACTCGTCTGCAGATTGCTTCCTTTTTTCATCATAACCCATTATTTTCCTGTCACCTTCCGAACCAAATCCTGCAGTACTACCAAAAATACAAAATGTCAAAAGGGGACATATCTTTCTTCTACTTGTTACTACAAGATAAAAACACTTTTCTCAAATCCGTACCCTTTTTATCATGGGAAACAGAAGTGGGAGCAACGTTTAGCCCCTAATCAATTGGGATATGCATTCCAATCTATCTATAATGCCACTAGAAATGTCAATCTTTGGGAACGGATTCAAAAATTTACTTACGCTGGTATTTAACAACCCACTGCATTTCCAAATTTGATGTTTCCTCCTCTACTTTTTGTTGGAGAGGATGTGAACAAGTGGGCACCTTGTATCACCAATTTTGGGCATGAAAATATTTAGTTAAATTCTATCTCACTATTTTTGAAATTTTATCTAAAATTACCTCTGTTTCATTACAAATTTCTCCAAGTCTAGCTATCTTAAATCTTGGAATAGAACATATCCCTCCTTCCTTAAAACAATAGTTACAAATGTCCTATTAGCAGCTAGACTGACATTGCTTAGATATTGGAAATCTTCCTCCCCTCTCCCAATTTCTGAAGTGATTAGTACCACTCTACATTTTCTACATTTTCACTGTGAAACTATGTTAGCATCTACCACATCATTTGGCCGCGTGTCCTCTTTGTGGAAACCATGGTCACAATAGTATGAATCGCAGGGTAATTCTCTTGATTGAACTGTGTATTGTCATCAATGTGCCTTTTTCTGAATTTTTTTATATATACAAAATATATTGTATTTTTAGCTCCATAAGATGCACTTTCCCCCCCAAAAAAAATGGGGGAAAATGTCTGTGCATCTTATGGAGCGAATATGGGGCGGCCGGCCCTGTATTCCCGCCGCCGCCGTGTTAGAATAGCGGGCCCGCCGCTAGGCTCTACTGTGCAGAAAGAACCCGCTCCTCGGTCCTACCTGTTTCTCGGTCCAGAGGTGTCCAGCCGCCTTCTCTCCCTTGCTCCGGCATCTTCATTGTGGGTACCTGGCTGTGACAGCTTGCAGCTTCACAGTCGGGTGCCCACTGCTCATGACCAAGAAGCGCTGTGCTTTGGGAATGGCCCTGTAGTCTTCTGGGACCTGTCATGTGTCCCACAAGACTACAGGGAGGTAGGACAACTCTGTGTAAGTGGCAGCGGGTACCTGTCAAATTCGGGTAATTGCCTCCCTCCCCCCGCTGCAGTCTCTGGTCATCTCCTGTGCTGTGTCTGCAGTCTCTGGTCATCTCCTGTACTATGTCCGCAGTTTCTGATCATCTCCTGTACTATGTCCGCATCTCTGGTCATCTCCTGTAATGAGTCCGCAGTCTCTGGTCATCTCCTGTACTACGTCCACATCTCTGGTCACCTCCTGTAATGAGTCCGCAGTCTCTGGTCATCTCCTGTACTGTGTCCGCAGTTTCTGGTCATCTTCTGTAGTATGTCCAGAGTCTCTAGTCATCTCCTGTACTATGTCCACAGTCTCTGGTCATCTCCTGTACTATGTCCGCAGTCTCTGGTCATCTCCTGTAGTATGTCCGTAGTCTCTGGTCATCTCCTGTAGTATGTCCGCAGTCTCTCGTCCTCTCCTGTACTATGTCCACAGTCTCTGGTCATCTCCTGTACTATGTCTGCAGTCTCTCGTCATCTCCTGTACTATATCTGCAGTCCATTGGTTCAGAATATTTTTTTTCTTGTGTTCCTCCTCTAAAATCTAGGTGCGTCTTATGGAGCGAAAAATATGGTACATGTTCATGTATATGTTATTATTTTTCAGAATGTTCATTTTTGCCTTTTCTTGTTTTTCTGTTAGTGACATTGGTGCGACTACTTGGCATAGCACTGCAATGTATAAGTAATTTCCTGTTTTATTTAAAACTTTAATAAAGACATATTGAAATGAAAAAATAACCTCAATTAGTACATATGTTCATGACTTTTATGGTTTACAGGATGTCTAAAGACCACTTCTGGACAGTCATATTAAACTAATTTAAGCATTTACTTTAAAAAAATAACAAACTGGATAATCATTTTTATAGTCAGTAAGTAAATAAACATTAGCTCAAAGTTTGTTTTGGCCATAGGAAATGTGCCTAGATGTAAGTGGAAGAACAGAAGTAAAAATGTGAGCCCAAAATGTATTTACTGCTTAAGGTAAGCTTTTTTAGAAGTCCTTTTGAGTTCACTGGGGTACTAAACAGCCTGAAATGAAATGTCTATGGGTGGGTGGTCTGAGTCAGCTAAGACTTTGTGATGCTGAAAACAAATCTCTTATGAATATATACACAGGTAACTGTCATGAACCCCTAGAAGAAACATGAAAAGATTTTTGTGCATATCTTTTGTTGCTTTGGAAACTGCATCTGCCTGACTAGAGTGCATGAAAACAAGGCACAGACTTTGACAAAAGAATATCCAAAGCCAACACTTGTTTATCTGTTTTTTTGTAGAGTAGGGGATGGTGAAAAATAAAACTGTCAGGGTTTTTTGTCATCTGTATGCCATTGAGGTGATTTACCTTCACTTCCTGCTTACAAAATGAGGGAAATTACCTCTTAGACAGTTGTCATCTGTCCGCACTGGAAAATACCCCTTTATTCCTTGTGACAAATTAAAAATCCTGGATTTTCCCTCACTTTTAGCCCCTAAGACAATGATCACCATTACGCAAAGGGAAATTCAATTTACCTAGAAGGAACACAACTCCAATATGGGTACTAATCTCCCACCACTCTATCTAAAACAAAATAAAACATTTTGCCTCTAGATACACTTTAAATCAATCTTAGTGCAGTGAAAGCAACTGAAGCTATTGTGACTATTTAGATTTTGCTGAATGTGCAAAACTCTGGCTTCTTGTTGATTTGGTGCTGTGAGTGGGGCAGGGGGACATGCCAGGCCATTTACCTCTTTGCTGCACAATAAAGCATTTATATAGTTAATTAAAAAAAAAGAAATAACAGACTTATTGTACCGGCTCTGTGCAATAGAATTGCATGGAGTGGCTTCAATTCACCTCTTCTTGGGTCCCCCACTAGTGCTTCTGGTTCCCCCCTCTTCTTGGTGTACCACCATAGGAAGCTGCTTCCTATTGTGGCACACCTGTGGGCTGGTTTCTGAATAGCGCTACCTGTATCTATAGACACAGACAGCAAGGCTCAATTCCACTCCTGCTTCTTCATCACAGGATTTGATGAATGGAAAGCCTTTGGCTCCCTCTGCTCTCTGAAAAAGCCTATGAGAGTGGGGAGAAGAGGAGAGAGCTGGTGCAAATGGGCACAGTACTGGCTTGAGTTTGGGCTCAGGTAAGTAGAAGGGGAGTAAAGGCGCGATACCCATACTGAAACATTTTTTACCTAAATGCAGGGAATGCATTAAGGTAAAAAAATATGTAGGCTTTACAGCCACTTGAAATATATCTGGCTAAAATCATGAGATTTTTGCATTGGACTTTAAATAATAATGTTCAACCAGCAAAACCTTACCAGAGTCAAAACCTTACCAGAACCATCAGAAACGTTACATTTTACAGAACATAAGCAGCATGAACTTTCAACTCACTCCCCTGTCATTCCAATTCTTATAGAAGCCCATCAGAATTAGAGGTTCACATGTTCTCTAGCTTACAAATTTTTCAGAAAAAGTTCCCAACTGGGACAAAAGAAACAGGCTTTATTGTTACCAAATGAAAACACGTTAAATAAAACTCTTAAATTTATTTCTAAAATATTTAAAACAATTACATTAAAAGGTAGGGACCAAAGAACAGGCCCCACCTCAACATATGTGGTTACATCTTCCAACATCAAATAATATCAATAGTCAATACTTAACTTAATAATGCACATGTAGTTTGGCCAATGCGTTTCGCAGAAATGCTTCCGCAGGACCAATCATACGCTCTTAAGGTAAAGTAACCTGACTGAACAGAACTAAAATCATTTTTGAATTTTTTAAGAATTAACATCTCCCTAAAAGGTCCAAAGTGTAGGTCCCAATACACAATCACATACTTAAGCTGTAACTGCCTTACTATGGATTCTTATACTTTACAAGGTATTTCATCCTTTTTTAGTTCTGTTACTGGATAATTATTGTAATGTGCTTATGCTGTATGTCCAATTCTTTTGCTTTAGCATGTGGGCAGCCACTAGACTGCTCTACATCTACTGATATGTATGTGTCTACAGGTATATTTGTAATCGCATTCAGTCTAATAAGGTGATTTTGTTTATTCTAATATATTTTTCTTCAGTCAGTTTACTCTTCCTTAAAAGCGTATGATTGGTCCTATGGAAGCATTTCTGCAAAACGTGTTGGCCTAATTACATGTTGTTAAGTTATATATTGACTATTGATATTATTTGATGTTGGAAGATGTAACGACATATGTTGAAGTGGGGCCTGTTCATTAGTGTCTACATTTAATGTGATTGTTTTAAATATTTTTTTTAAATAAAGTTTATTATTTTTATGTAATGTGTTTTCGTTTGTTACCAGTAAAGTCTGTTTCTTTATTCTCAGTTGAATTGAATTGACTAATTGAATATTTGGGATGTGGTACTGTTTTTGGTAGGAATACATTTCTAATTAGCTTACGGTACTAAAATGAAAACGTACACATAGGTTTTGAATGCCTCTACCAAGTGACAGCACTTGAGCCTAGTGATTGGCCTCTAAGACACCCAGCACTGTTTTGTAGGGAAGAAGCAATGTCATGTGTACGACCAGAGACCTGAAGGTAGGTCAGATTATTGAAGGAGGGAGTGGAAGCTAGATCAATGCTGCTCAAGCTGCAGAGTGTATGGATAAAATACAGTTTCACTTTACACTCTTCCATATTCACTTCCACATCCACATTCACTCCTGCAGTTATTAAACTTACAAGTGTAACTGCTATCATTTTCTACACTTTGGTTTAACATTTCAATTTGAATGCTTGTTTATCTATGTTATCGTATGCACATCAGAGTCATTCATCAAGGTAAACAAATCAGGTGTCTTATTGCTCTTTCTGCTCATTTTATTAGGATGAGATTATTGATTTAGCATTTTAGATCTGTTTAGATTCCATTTCTATATTTTCTAGTACTGTACTTTTAATGTGTATTCTAAGCAAAGATTACCTATTATAAAATTCATTTTACCATAGAGAGAAAGCAAAACCTATAGGACCAGAAAAATCATTAGCGAATCGCTGGCTATGAAAACATTATACAGTTATTAATGAATCACTATAAATATGAAAATGATTGCAAGAGAAGCAATCTGCCTTCTCTTCACCAAGAGCTGCAGCCATGATTCAGATGACCTTTCTTGTAATGGTGATCTGAGTGGCTACAGAGCTGCCTGATCATTTTTAGAAGCAGCATAAGGGGTTTTCCCCTACTCTGACAAGTGCCGCCATCCCACCAAGGAGCCCAGGGTCACTGTGGGCAGTTGCGCATGCTGACCATAGAGATGAAGGAGGATCTCGCATTCCACAATGGTCTCTATGGTGTACTACAACCCCTGGCAAAAAGCATGTATTCACCGCTCTTGGAAAATTTTAATTTAATTGTGTAAAAAAAAAACTAAGTACAGACATGCCTCAAAACTATTTTTATTTTAACATTCCAACCTTCAGGCTTTAAGAAACACTTAAAACAATAAAAAAGAAAAAAAAACGTAGTCAGTTGCAACTGTTTTTGAAGAACAAGCTGAGGAAAAAAAAAATGTGGAATCACTCAATTCTGAGGAAAATATTATGGAATCATTAAAAAAACCACTACAGTACACCACTAGTACTTTGTTACACCACCTCTGGCTTTTATAACAGCTTGAAGTCTCTGAGGCATGGCTTTAACCACATGGTGCCCAGCCACTGTAGAAATACGGCAGCAGGGCGGCACAGCTGGGCAAAACCACCGCCCTACCTGTCCTGCCGATCACGGCAGCGGATGTCAGTCGCTGGGTCACAGCCGTTCGCTACCGGCTGTGTCTGCCGATTAGCGGCAATCGCTGACAGAGAGCAGGGCTGCAGTAGCTCTGCTTTCTGTCAGTTCCCTGTCAGCTCCTGACATGCTGAGCCAGAGAGAAGAGTTTATCTCTCCCGATCAGCATGTCCCCAGTGCAGTACACACCCCCGCCCCCTAGTAAAACACTCCCCTCACACAGTTAACCCTTTCAGTAAATAAAAAAGTAAACCCCTTCCTCCCCAGTGCCATTAGTACAGTGTCAGTGTTTTTTTTTTGCACTGATCACTGTATTGGTGTCACTGGGGATGTCAGTGACCCCAAGTCAGTTCCCCCCCAGTGTCAGAATGTCTGCCGCACTCCCGCAGTCCTGCCATAAGTCGCTGATCTCCACCATAAGTCACTG